GTGCTTTGAAGTTTCTTTAGCGGTTTGATTGGTTTTCCGGGGTAGTGTTGCTAGCCGTGTGCCCACCCTTCCCTCTTTATCTGAGCTTAGGACCGGCTAGTAACTAGTGAACTAGTTAACCAGACGAGGTTGGATACCTCAATACTACTTGAATATTCGGTACGTTTCAGTTTTACTTGATGCCCAGTACAATGCATATTTAGACAGTATCGTGGTATCCGCATAAAGCCCATCTGCTAACAGAGATCGAGCTATTCGATCCAGTATAACGATGACAAGTTACAAGTATCAATGAATAACAGCTGGTACTCAATACTTTTACAAGAAATGGCTATGTTGTATCAGTGGATAAAAGTTTGGCATTTGAAACGATGAGCGTTGATTTCAAGTCTTACTGAGGATTCTATCACTCTGAGAGGTGCAGGCACGTCCAGCTGATGAGTTCTAGACAGGGCGAAATGCAGATCCTGGGTTCCACTGCTGGTAACTGAGTAAAACAGCAGTTTCTACTGTCTATCAAACTATTTCTTAAAATAACTGAACATGGTACTGTTCAGCATGATCAGTAGATTCTTCGAAGTCCAAATAATAATTACCATACCATATAGATGAAAACAGAAATCTTATTGAACTGCAAGCAAAGAAAGGCATAAACTGAACAGAGAAATCACTTCGTAATTAGTATAAGCGCGTGAATCTTTAATAACATCAGGTAAGATTTACAATTCCCGTTAGTTCGGTAGATGTTGGTATCTTAATTACCAGTGATTATACTGTTTAGGAATGTATTAACTGAAACCACTGAATTATCGAACTGTACAGATTTGGATAAATGACGAAGCAGAAATTTTTCTTGGTGCAATTGTCTGCTTTGTTCTACACTACTTATTCTAGACATGGTCGGTGAAGGTACAACATACGAGGAAGCTGTAGGAATTTGAACAGAATTGTATGAGTGTCATGGGGCCAGTAATCAAGCAGTCTCTAGGTCAATCATCCAGTATTACATAAATAATGGAGGTCAGCTGATGAGACTGTGACCCTCCATCGACTTAGTTAACTATATTTTAGGGAAATTGAGTTACCACTTTACTAGGTGGGAAAGTTTAGCCCAAGTACGATTAGAAAGCAGGGGAGTTTGGGTTGAGCAGACTAATAGATGGTACCAATGATTACTGATCATCATCATATTAAGGTAATCACACTACTTTCTGGTTTAGCTTTTATGGTGCTTCTGATTCTAATTCTTTGATTTAATTGACAGTAAAATTTTCTACATACCCGGAATTGGTGTTGCGGATGCACAGATTAATTGGCAGACAGCCCCTTTCCTTTCTCTCTTAATTTGTACTGCACCCGTGGAAATGTTTTAACTTATTTGTTTCTGTATTCATGGATTTACTGTAGAACTTCTATGTGTGGAAAGTAATCGCGCTATATAGTTAATTGACAGCAATAGGAAAATGTGAACCGGTGGATTCCAACTCAGAGGCAGTATATTAACGCACTCATCGTGAGACCTGACGATCCCGGGTTCGTTCCCAGATGGGGTTATGGGTGAGCACTTATGAGGAGCCTAATACTGTGACAAGACGACTGAACAGTCATCTAGGGTTTTCAATGATTTTTCAACTGATGTCAACTACTTTGAAGTCAGTAAATTTCTACAAACCATCAACTGAACAAACATATCTGTTAACAGTGCACCTATTTAATAGGCACTCACGTCGAATATTTTCATATTTCTTCCGTAATTTCCATTGCTGTATAATTGTTCTCGTGACCAGAAATTAAGAATTACTGACTGACATATGTCATTTCCATCAGGAAATGTGGTTGTACAGATCCGGTAAATGATATCACCGGAAATAAATTTGCTCGCTGATATCTTTCTACTTTTATAATCAGATTTCTGGCCAAGAAATCCCGAAGACTTAGTACTTTACCAACACACCTTAGCCTAACAAAAGTGTCATCTCCATACTCAAGGTCAACCATATGGCCCTGAACTAGCAAATCAGTCCGTAAGGAACTGGATGTAACAAGGGCCATCCCCATCAGCATATATCGTATCTTCAATTAATTCAAAATTTATTGTTTCTGTAGTGGTCTTAATATCCGTACAGAACGGTACGGAAAGATTTTTTGTACGGGAAAATTTTCAGCGTGTATCATCCTCGTTTCAATCGTTTAACATTCAGCATTTTCTGACTTCTTGAAACCGTATCTTTGTGATGCAGCGGACTGTAATATCTCAAATAACGCCATTTCAAGTATAACTCATGTTGCATTAGTTCACAGAAACATTTCTCAGTTCATTTCGTTAGATTTCCCAACAGTGTATATGTACAGTAAAACAAAATCAACTATTTCGATTATAATTGGTATGTGTGACACGACTAGAGAGTAATAAATATCAAAGACACGTCTTTAGACTGAGTTATTTCACTCTGACATATAGATAAACAAAATCAACGTAGAACCTCGCACACAGGTGCAACCGCTGATTCCAGTCGTCTCAGGGACCCCAACCAGGCAGTCTATACCTCCCTACACGACTCAGACCAACAGTCAGGGATTTCATGAACTGGTGCCACGTCTTCGCTTGGCCACCCTCGGCCTACTTCCAACCTAATGTAACTTCCTCTAACACTGGATCTCGAGGTAGGTGGTGGCTCGGTTATTTCACGCCAATTGTATTTAGAAGAATATCATGACACCATATGTCATTCGGTTAATTGATTGAGATCGAATTTAGAAAAAAAGTGAAACACTTCATTACTTCCACTTTAAATACTTAAAAAAATGTACATCGGGAGAATTCCAAATATAATTTCGCTTTACCAGTACACTTGACCGAAAAACGCTCTCATAATTTCTAAAGTAAACACCTGAATGCTAACATCACCATCTTCAAAATTCATGCAACTAAGCGTGCAGGTGGCGGTTTTTAGGAAATGCATCAACCTCCACCACATTCTGTGGATTTCTTAGTCATAAAAATGACAGTTTTAGTTCGAAGACAAGAAGCAGTTATTAAGACTCAGTTGATCACAACGTTTTGGCTTGTCTGATGATATGAGCACATCCGAATACATACAACTGTTTGATGACAGAATTGGTCGTCCAAGTTCCATATTCTTCTTATACAATCACTGAAGTTCTCTAACCAGAGTAGGTTCTTTTTAACTGGTCATGTTGCATATCGATGGCATATTTCTTTGGTGAGGGAGATAATGTGTTTGTCTTCCAACAGACACTGCATTGACACCAAGGTTGGGCAATTGGGAAACTCCTCAGATAATGGAAAATCCAACGAGGACTGAAAAATCCGCAAACCAACCATCGACTCAGATATATGAACGCTTCTAAACACTCAGAAGTATTTAAAAGTCTGGTAGACTTACTACAAGATTCGCTTGTTATTGAAGACCAGTACATAAATATTAGTCACCGCCTAGAGATCAAATCATCGCACTCTTCCATCTTTACATACGACTCACTAATGCTTTATGATGTGAAGAGTGACGAATCGAATTTCTCAACTTCTCCATGCTTGATTAGTTCATTTGCTTAGTAGGACAGCAAAACTAATTGGTGGCCCGAATAGCTCAGTGGTAAAGTCGCTGACTACAACACTCGGTGACGCGGGTTCGAATCCCAGGCGGGACATCAGTTCCGTTGAGGTTGCAGATACGCCTTGCTGACGAGTGCCAAAAAGCATGAAACCTAGGTCCAGGGCTTCCTGCCGACTGCCTCCAACCAACTAACATCCACTTATGTGCACCGCGATGCTGAGCTTCCTAGCTTGGTTGCCACATTGCAAATATGATCGATAGGATACGGTCTGCCCCTAGGACTAGACAACATGGAATTGGTTGCACTCTCGTGACCAATCAGTACATATACACACCTTGCTGAATATTTTTCGCATCATGAAGTAAGTAGGTCCGTAGAACTTGACGTTGAATACTAGACGCTTGCAAAACAACAACAATAAATATTCGACCCTGTTCATGGTACAATGACTACTACACACACAAACCCTCTTGTGCTGTTTATTGCCCAGTCTCTTATGACCCCACATGAAAAGCTGTCATTGAACCCAGTCACGAGGATAAATCAAAGGTAACAAATATTAAAAAATAGGTCATAACTTTCTTTTTCTTCGCCTTAGAAACATAATCCATACGCAACAGGGAACATAAAGAGTAGAATGGAAGAAAAATCGGTGTGTGTGTGTGTGTGTGTGTGTGTGTGAAGAGAACAGAGTTAATTAAAACTGACGGTATATATTGATGTGCATATATATTTGTTTGCCAATAAGGAATATGGCGAACAATAGCAACAGCAGCAGGGATAACATGCGCGCACGATCGTAAGCATAAACACGTATTTCAGAGGCAGAGAGCGAGAGAGGCACAGCTGGAACTGTTTTTCGTTTGTGCGGATATGCAGGAATACATTATGCGTATAAGACACTATTCCGTAGAAGAGAAGTTCACCAACACTAGAAGCCTGAGAGTGTGAACAGTCAATCTTGTTATTCAACTGTCTTATTGTTTGTTCATGACTCGTATACTACTGTTATCAGTTGATAGTAGTAAGGATGAAATAATAATAGCGATGATAGTGATGATAATAATAATAATGTGATATCAATATGACATTATTTACAAACAAGCTGGCATATAATTAAAGTATGGGCTAATATAAGATTACAAAATATAGCTGTACATAAGATCTTGACAAAATAGAACTAAATTAAACAGGCTTACTATATAAACAGTTGCTTATGTAACAGTACTACTACTAATAATGATAATAAGTTATATGCATACGTATACACATATAAATGCATACATTACGGGATGAATGCAGGTTACGCATAGACGAGAGGAGGGGAGGGGGAAGAACTGCGAAAAATACATGAATGGAGGTAGATAGATAAAGTAAGGAAAGAAGCGAAAGGTAGGTGACCAGCTAGGAGTCTATCTACTTCAATCAGCACGCTCTACGCGTGCAACAACTTTACCCTCCCATAACGGTAGAATTGAATCGTCATTTGTCAACTCTTCGTGAACTACACCTGTACCGAATTCATCATTTGGTTTTTTGAAGAAGTAACTACAAAGGAAAGAAAAATAAGGATTACAGGATAAAGATATACGGTAATAATGTATATATGCACATCCTTGAGCACACAAACATAAGTATGCAATAACATTAGAATACACATCAAAGAAACATGATACATGTACATAAATAAAAAGATGACACGGATCTTCCGGAAATTACAGGAGCAACAAGAAAACAACAATTTACTCTCCACCTGTTTTTGCATGTAAACGCGGTAATGCATAAAAGCCGGCGCAAAATACATTTTCCCATAGCACTTCCCCCTGTGCTAGCCCACCACCACCAGTTACAGCTCGTTTACTCTACCTCATTTGTACACTTCTCAGTCAGTTAGTGCATTCATTAAGTCACTAATACACCCACAACAAATGGCAATAAACCGGATTGGCTATGTTGCCAGTGACAGATGGTCAATGCTATCCCAATAGGATATATATGTTGTTTATAGACTGTTATATTTTCTCTTCGACGAAGAGAAAATAAAATTAAGCAAGACAACATTGAAAAAGCAATCACCACAAAGCGGATTTTTAAATCAACCAGCGAAGCATATTCAAATACTGCTACTTTAACTGTGCGTCAAACCCAAATACAAATTGCGTCACAAATCTAGTGCTGCATTTCTTTACAGGAAACAATAAGTCATTTCTTCGCTTCAAATCCATTTTGTCTGTGTGTATGAAAGGCATGAAAATAACTCTATTGTGTCTAGTCAGACTGATGCCTAGATTTGTTATTCTTCTACACCTGTTTAATAATACATCTTATGCCGGTAAGACAGTCGTCAACTGGATAAAGGCAGAAAGGTAATGAGAAAAGGCATTTTCTTGCACTGAACACGCATACACTGGAGAAAGTAAGAATAAGATAATTGTGGGTACAATTTGAATACTTAACAAAAATTACACAAAATTGGTATCATAGAGATATTCCGTACACTTCTATACTTTTTCAAGTGTGCAAAATGCGAATACCGAGCCTGAGGAAACCAGACGAACTTCAGACTTAGTTGTGGGTGTGTTAGCCAGATACTCACCCTCCATAAGGTCCACAAACACTGGAACATCTACCACGGCCCGACACTAGCTGTACTTCACGACATAAGGCGGCATTCCATCTGTCGGTCAAGAAGCCTTATGGGAGAGTTTCTCTTTCGAAAGGCATGATGGGTGGCCAAATCACCCTCTGTACTAAAACACAAGTGGGCGCATCAGAACCTACGGTTAGTCATCAGGTTATTCGTGTACGTTCATGATGTCCACCCTTTCTTATTCTTTTTATTCAACCTTATCATAGACGTAATTATGGAAATCTTTTCATAGTTTGACTTTACAGGGATTGATATTATCACAAGAGACCCCTAAGTAGACCTAGAGCACGCAGATAACACTGTCTTGTTAGGTGAAAACGGTGGCAAGATGCAGTCTACTGGACACCTTAAGTGGCAATTTGAGGATGTTTTGGATGCATTTCTCGCCACTCAAATGCAAATTGTCGCTCCAGGACTGGTCTTTGGTGATGTCCTGTATAATAGTAGGGAATGAAGTGGTTAAGCACGTTAACCACTTCACTTACATGGAAAGTCGGACCAGTCCTGAGGGGTCAGCCACCAACGAAACCTCTTCACGGATACAAAAGGCTCAATCAGCTTTTGCCAACATATGCCATTTATGGCGCCACCGTAATATCCAATTGCCTGTTAAGGGTTGAGTGTACTACACTGTAGTTCACTCTCTTCTACTGAATAGCTGAGAAACATGACGACTGAAAACACATTCAAATAATGACAACAACAATAATATTAATATACTGCATACAACTTACCGATAAACACCTTTTTTAGCAATCAATTGTTTGAATTGTCCCAGTGTCAATAGAGATTGACTGGTCAGTTGTTTAGTTTGATAGTTATCCACAGTTTCTGAATGGTCACTGACTTCGACAAACAATGCAGATGAAGATGACGAGGATTGGTTGTTGTTGTTGCTGTTATTATTGTTGTTACTACTATGTGACCCTGAAGTAGGTGGTCCAGTCCATACGGTCCGATACGGTACTGGGTCATCGCATAGATAGTAGCCAACCACTAAGCCTTGAGGACCAGATGAACTAACTGGCGTAGTAGTGGGGTTGATGTGAGAGGTTTGTTGCTGATGTACATTTGTCATTGCTGCTGCTGCTGCTGACGACGATGATGATGATAATTTGCGATCCAAACGTGCACTGCAAAGGAAACAAAAGTGTCAAGTTATTTAACTACCAAGGAGTGGAGAAATGATGACATAACCAGTAGTGACCTTTTTTTAAAAACGCAAGGCTCATCACATAAGGTTGCTTCGTTCTTCTCCCTCTACGCACATCCTGACTGATGTCAACACATTTTTAAGTTATTCAATTAGAAGGTTTATGGAGAAATGATGAATTCTAAAGCGGCTATTGTTGGAAATCGATACCACTAATAAAGTGGAGTTACTGAACGCCAGTGAAAACCCGTAACTTAGTATGGGGTCAAACCCAAGACCGTCAGGTCTCCTTGAGAGCAAGTTATCATTCAACTACAAGGCCAAAAGTCAACTGTTTATATTTCTTCACTTTTGCCAATAGTAAATACAGAGCAACACAGGTTGAAAAACACAAACTATTAGATTCCAATCTACCACCCGAATATTGACATGCTCTTAGGCAGATCTGATAATCTTCAGCTGAGCACTACCGAACAGTCTTTCAAGCCAAGACGTAATAAACAATGTGAGCGAAGGAATATTTCTTCTTAATTGGTTTTTCGTCAATGGCTCTACATTATAATATATAACATTCGCAAAATATGAAATTACATACCAGTCTAGTTTAAAAAAAGGAGTATTTCTTTGTTCATGTTGTTTGTTTTCTGAATGTCCAAACGGGAATTTTCGCATTACCGAAACGAAACAGGTATGTCGACTTTTTAGCTGAGGTCGATCCTATCCAACTTTAGGAAAGTGTATCACAGCAGCAGATATTACGCGTTAACCAAGCGTATACAGCTACAGTTAAATTTTACAAGAATGACGGTTACGAACAGTGTTTTTTAGTAACTCGCTGGTATTCAGACACAAAATGTGTCTTCTTGTTTCATCCAACAAATCGTCTCCGTATACCTCAGAGACAGTAAACAGTTGATGCCTTTCGCTTCATAAAAGGTCTATCTCACGACCCGAAATACAGCAAAAAGATTCATATTTACTAGTTGTCGGTAAAAAAACTTAGCACATAGCTTAGGCTGTCAGCCAAACTTGCTATGTAACAGCACCTTATGATACTAGCTTATCGCACAGATTGAAGTAGCTGGGGCTAAGGGTGGGGGTGAACCTAGAACTCATTAAGTGGAATCAGTTTTACTGTTAAATGAAATGTTTTATGCTTCTTCTCTAAATGTATTACTTTTGGCCTTTACAGAGACCTTAGTTAACCCAAGTTAACGTTTATCCTAGGAAACATTTCAGTTCCAGTTCCAAAAAACTGATGAAGTTGATCATTCTACAGTAATCAATATATATTACACAAATGGGCTCACACAGACAATAGTGACATAAGACCTGATATTGTTGAGTAACGGTTCAAATTGTCACACCTCACGGTAGACAACCACATTATTTTGATAGTCTCATCTTCTCTGAACAATACAGTTTCATTGTGAAGCTTATCATTGTCCTTTTAGATAACGTGATCAACGTAAACTCCTAAAGTTCAACAACAACAATACGAAGCTTAACCCTGGAACCGTCCACCAGCTCAGGAGAATACAACATAACCAAAATCATCCTCCATAAGCGCCAAAAACGAAAATATCCAGTATGACCTTAATCATACATAAACCAACAGAAGAAAAACGAATAAGGATGAATGTTGTAAACGTAGACAAAAATAGCTAACCTTGTCGTCATATTGTCATCATCATCATCGTCTTCGTCAGAATGCTGTCGACAACTATTCGATTCCGTGTTAGTATGAGACGAATGTTTTGGATTAGTATTATTACTATTTGTTCGCTGTGCACTAGTTTTTCGATGACTGTGACTATGATGATGATGATTATGGTGATGGTGGTGGTGTGATTTCCGTCCATGTGACTCTTTACACACCAACTTATTTACTTGTGATCGTGAATAACGATCAACAGGAGGTATATTCTCCGAGGAGACAGGTTTATTATCTTGTCCTTCCTCAGTAGTAGGGCAGAGAGAGGACTTTTTCTCTGTTGGATGCTGTTGTAATTGCAGCCAGTGTTGAAGTAGTTTACCATTGGAGGGTTTTTTACACTCACTTACGTCTAATAAAACAAAACAGTTGGAGGGATTTATAATAATAATAATAATAATAATAATAATAATAATAGTACTCATAGTTGAAAATCTCAAACGAGTGAAAAAAACTATGTAAAGCAAAACTTTCTGATATCCTGTGGATTACTTTATTCCATTTGTAATAATTGGCTTAGGTTGGCAGATCAATTCCTCGGACAGATTTCTCAATATTGATGTTATTTTCCAGTATCTTGGGTTAGTGACTCATTCAGGAGAGACACTGGCAGTCATTGGGATTCAAGTACATCTAGCTGACGAATCCGAAATACTTTGTTCTCCATCTGCTAACATCCATTTCAATATACTGATGTAAGGTGCGTGGAACATTACGCAGTAATTTCAGGTCTTACGTGTAATTGTGTCTGGTTCTCTGTTCCCAACAATGTGCATAATGTGTACCAGCTTAAAAATAGTAATATCCGATTAATTGGGCCAGAGTTGGACCCCATGACCTAAGGTCTGCAAAGTCATGACTTCGTGATTTCAATATGTAGTAATTATATTTTACTAACTGTACCAAATTAATCATAATGAACGAGTTGTTTCAGCAGAATTATCTAATTTATCTGCACTGATAAGGTGTCACCGCCATATGGAGAGTAAAGAAGTTTACTACTTATTTAGATTTCCAGTAATCTCTGATATTTTAGCTTAAGAATGAAAGATAAATTATGTTCCAGGGTGTGCAAAATACCTGTAAAACACACAAATTAATATGACATAATACTCGATTAAGGTGGTGAACTTCAAAGTTTATGCATTTACTTAAAGCATTAAACGTAACTAGGCAACTTGTCTGAAAACTGTGCTATCCTATGTGCATGCTCTTGTCTGTTGATTGGACTAATGCCTGGAAAATAAGACTTCACAGTGCATAGGTGTAGGTGCATACTCAGAACACAGTTATGCAAACAACGACGTCATAAAGACGCAACAATATTATAATTATTTAGATGACAAAAAACAATCTATTACACCAGAGAAAAGAAAAATAAAAAAATCTCGTTAGTCTCACTGCAGTGTCATAAACGTCTCAATCTTTGATCGTGAAACATTAATTACCAAAAATCCTGCAAAATGTATTGTTACACTGTTCTAATCCTTTAACTGAAAACATGTATAGATAGTTTCATCAATCTTCAAATGAATGGAACCACCACACATGATGGGTCAAGTTTTCATGAGAAAATGTACTTCAAGATAGAGGAAAAGAAGAAATACACTTGGCAACCTTTTTCCCTGTTGTGCAGTAGGCAATGAGCAACACCTATTTTATGAGGACTAATGATACTACCTGCATGCGAAAATTTCGGTAGTTGGAGACGGGTTCGAACCCGTGGTCCGTTGGTTGAGAGTCAACTACCTACATGATTACAAGCTCCCAGGTAGAGTCTGATGAAACGCTGACGAAAATAGGAATCCCCTTACATCGTACCATGCTAGACTTGGATAGCTGAAAAGGAAAAAGTAGATTTTACTCAGCTGAATAAAATTTGACTTTTATGAACAGCCTGTTTAGCTAATTTTAAGTTTTTATTTAGAAGAGTCTGAGAACCACCTTGAGAAAAACCATTAGAACAGCTGTTTATGTGACAAACAAAAACAGAAATGAATACCATCAATCTTAGGTACATCTCAATGGCCTATAATAAGTGGCTTAGTTTTGAGATTTGCGGTAACTGGTTGATTTCAAAGTGGTACTCACCACGGACTGATATCAGTTGCAGAACCATCGGACACATGTCGTTATTGGACAACTATTTTTTCCCAGAGTAGGATGGTTCAGCAGTACGCACACATGACCCAACCACAGAGGAGTGTCGATTATGTAGACTGGTCAACTTATTTCCGCCCTTTAAGCATCGGCTCCATTCCTAGTCGATAAACTATCAGTATTATTTTAAAAAAGCGCTGATTCACACATATCATCTGAAATTATTCACACTGGTAATAAAACCCCGAAGTAGGTAGGGAGGTAAAAGAGTAGAAGCTTGTGTAGAAGTGCACTAGTTCAAGCTGCCACATTCAGCTATAACAGCTATGATAGAGGAAGTGAACAGATTTAGAACCTTATTAATATAAATAGAAAGTGGTGTGATAGGAGACAGAACAAATAAATAAAGTTTAGGCGTACTTTTTGGACATAGCGCTGGTTTGAACTTCGGGATATGTAATGCTTTCAATATACCCAAATGCTTTGATCTCATCCACATTGAGTGGCTTCACCGAAACCTTGTAGATGATTTTGAAGTTTTCTAGAGGAGCTGAGTGATCTAATTCACAAGGTGTTCAGTTGTTGAACTGAAGATATATTTCCGTTCTTCTTTGGAAGCGAAGATCAATAGTGTTCTCGAGCACGTTTTATAAAAGGGCGCATGGTATGGCACAAGCTACTGTGGAGCCGAGTACATCGGGAGTACCACGCACCCGCTTGTAAAAAGCGCTCGAGAACACTACCCAGCCAGACTAGTAAAGGGAGAACAGGAATCCACCTTCAGTTCAACAACAAAATACTTTTTAAATTTAGGTCACTCATTTCCTTTCAAGAATTCTTTCAAAATTTTCTACAAAATCCGACCAAGGTATTCGGGTATAAGTGATCTAGAAGTTCACACCAGCGTTATGTCAAAAAAAAATACGTTCAACCTTCGTCTTTTTTATGACCATAAAAAAACTGACTCATAAGTCGGTGCTATTGACATATGATGAATACCTGGATAAGGAGATCCACCAAGAAACTCATCCAACATAATCCCTACTGCCTAGGTAGCTACTGCAAGTACACTCATATGTGTACTCACAAGGCAAGCAGAAAACTTAGTAAAAATGACTCTTTCTGTTTTGTTGTTTTTCGTTTTGAAAGCCTACTATACTCCACAAGCATTGAAGGGATTACTGTTGGCATACTACTGATACCGTTGCCACCCGTAATATCACTGTTTCTTTCCCAGAGTAATTACTACGATATCATTGTAACCCAATCAGTTATTACATATGTGATCACGCAGATACCCTGCAAAATATCTACGAAATACAATAATTACAGCACAAAGAAAAAGCCGACGAGATATGGCATCAAAGGGTAGTACCGATACCACAGATAAAGCTCCTTGTGCATGTATGCAATCCTAACCCTGAGACAGCGCGTCTATGTAAATGGATATATAATAACCATACTGGCGGAACCAGTAAACAGAGAAAGAGAAAAGGCTGATGATCACAGATTAAGTACAAAATGAAGCATCAAACTGTCAAGAAAAAAACACAACGACAATGACGACAACACGGCAGTAAAGAAATACAAAGAGATGTAGAAGATCAAAGTAAAACGACGGTGAAAAATATTTTGCACTGAAATGCATAAACAGACAGAGGAGTTTTAAGGTGGTGTACATAGTCGACAAAAACTGACTAGAAGCAGTTCTACTGCCACAAGAGAGAGAGAAGGGGGGGGGAGAGGAAATTGAAAAACGAAAATCCTCGATATAAACAGCATATCATATTTTCATGGTCGTATCATACACGTATAATGTATCGATTCTCTGATTGTAAGCTTTTTCACGGCTTTTCTTTCAGAAGTCGTATCGAAAAGGCATGCATACAAACCTGTCCCCAACCCCTACTCACCCATCAGAAATGCATGCACGTGTGCACGTACAAACACTGCGGTCTCTTTGATCTACCACTTTATATGTATTACATGCAGAATGAAGAGAGAAAAAACAAAACACAAAGGGGCACAGGAAGAAACAACAACGACAACAGTTGAAAAAATTAAGAAGTAGACAAAAATGTTAATTTGTTTCTTTCTCTGCTTCATATGTACACAATGGTAAACATAGTGGTAGTTAGTCAATAAAAACGGAAGATTATATCTGTTTTTCCCTCTATCTATTACGAGTTGCACGGTTGTACACAGCTTTGTATATATATATATATATATATATATATATATATATATATATATATATATATATATACGTACAAAGGGTTATAGATGCAAAAATGAAGTGTACCCACCGTCAGAGTACACATCATATACCCACAAGAAACTAATCATGATAATACAATATACAGACCTCATGAAAAAAAAAGTAATAAATGCTAAACCCAGAAAACATTCATTTAGGTTTAAAGATTTTGTTAACTTACCAACTTCAGGTAAGTCTACACCAGCAGTTGTGGCTCACTGGTTTAAGGAGCTGACTTTCAACCACTGAGTCATGGGTTCAAACACCGTTCCAACTACCGAGGTTCGAGAAGCCAGGCAGTATCACTAGCCCTCACGCAATAGGTGTGATTCACTGCCTACTGAAAGAATGTGCACAAGGTTGCTGAGTGGACTTCATTCTTCGTTCTAGTAGACATCTCAATATACGAAGATAAGGATAACGGTGGTTGGAGTGCAAGGAGAACTTCGTATATTGACGGGTTTCAAGCTAATGATCTACGGTCTTACTAACTACTGAAATACGCACCCATCTACCAATCAATTTAAAGTCACGCTGTTGGAATATTTTCGAGGGATTGATTTACTTGAGAGTATTTTTCATCAGATATCGTTTCTAAGCAGAAAGGTACTGAACGCCAAATGAACATATTGGTCACTTGTTTCACTTTAATCTAGGGTACAAATCTACAACTTTGTGAATGCAACCCAAGACAGTCAGTACTTGAGGTAAACACGTTAGTCCTTTCAGATGATGCATTAAAATCCAGTGGTTCATAATTCGACCTCTGTCAGTTCGTGGCAGCGTAATTATTATTCAGTGTGATAAGTGATTAACTGTCTTCACAACCGAATCGGCTGACTGTATATTTAGTGACCTATCATTGGGGACGGGGATAAAACTATCTGGAAATCAGTCACCACGGAACAATCGAGTGTTACTTAGATTTAATGTTTCGTGAGAAATTACTTGACTCCAAAGCAGTTCTCACACTGTGGGTCGAAATTAGAAATTTCAAGCAGGGTTACTAAATCGATATCCTCACGATGATATTCGAGCATATATTCAGTATGTAACTGGACTTTCTGTCACTTAACATTATTCTATATGCTGTTACAAGTGACAGAAGCCAACATACGCTTCCTTCAATAAAACATTGTTTTAGCCGGTAATCAGCAACATGGAAACAACAAAGTACGAATATCCGCATCAGAACACTAAAGCAGATACAGAGATTTGTTGATTTCGAAGTGGTATTCATCATTGACTGCCATCACTTGGAGAACCATTGAAAACCTGAGAGCATTGAACAACTGTTTCGTACTAATATGGGATCCTTCAGCAGTGAGCACCCATGGTTCCACCAAGGATAATCTAACCAGAGACCTTCAGGTTTCGTGGCCACCACTTTACCACTGAAGTATTGGGTCGAAATCTAATGTCCACATTCCCCTAATTCTGTCAGTTCGCAATATAGCGCCACATTTATCTAATACTACTGTTGAGTATTTGTTCTCACGTCCGACTCGGTTTGCTCCACCGGTCATGATTTCTCACTAGAATGCCGGGAAATTTCATCTTGAAGCAAATAAACAGTGACAGTAACCTAATTTTAAGGTTTGTGGGGATCTGTTGATTTTACGAAGGCGCTGGATGAAGATCAGGCTATATCGTGAACTGATAGAAGTAGAAAAATGCCAACCATTGGATTCCAACCCAGTGATCCAATGGTAACGTGCTAACCATGAGACCTGGAGGTCCGTGGTCAAATCCCTGGCGGGACCATGGGTGCACACTGCTGAGTCACATACTAGGATGGAACAGCTTCCCAGTGCTCCCAGCTTTTCAATGAATCTCCAACTTCTGTCAGTTTGTGAGAAATAAGCTCAATAATACATAACTACTAAGACGAAGGTAGAATGACGTCATATTTGATCTCATCACAACAGACTTTCTTCCAACAGAGGACTGCTTTAAACCAATATGAGAAATCAAGGTTGACTGTACATTAGTTTTTGTAACACATGATCTGGCCGTCTCAAATGATAAAGTTTCGCATCTTCATCAGGTGACTCATCTCTTTTGTTTGGAATTCTGTCTAACGTTTATATTCCAATGAGTTCATGACAGGCGGTAATGTTATAATGCGACGTTGGTGAAATACCTGAAACCCCGCTTCATACCTTCTACACTTTCAGTGACTGTTTCATATTCTCATTTATAACCCTTTAAAATAAGTACCTTTATCCATGCATCAGTGAATGACTACTGCAAAGACAGACAAGAAAACAAATACATGCATAACTTACTGTGTTGATTCAAATCATTTGACGTCATCATCCTCCTCATCTCAGGACAATGATGATGATAATAATGATGCATAGGATATGAATCATCATGTGAATTCAAACGGTTTCCGAGGCAGTGTGCATGATTGCCTAGTGGCTGTTTCGAATTGAATTCATAACATGATGAGATAAGACAATCTGTCTGAGGATAAGTAATGCTGTTATTAGCAGGATTACTAATACTACCAAATATGGATTTTGATGCTGAATGTGTTCGATTCCCTCGAGGAGTTGGGACACTTGTGTCATTCAACTTGATATTATTCATTGCCAATTATGAAGACTCCTAGAGTAATAGTAGTAATAATAACAATTCAATTAAGGTTCAAGTAACAAACACAAAGGAATTGTATGTAATATAGTGTAATTATATGTAGCTCAACAACCCCAGACAAACTAGTCAACATTGACTCTAATAACTGTGATAACCTCTCTGACTGCAACAGTGAGTGTTATGGTTTTCACACAGAGGACATCAGTCTCTTTGAGGTTACAGATAAGGCTTGTTGATGAGTGCCAACAAGGATGACACCTAGGTCAAGCAGGGTTTTCAAATAATCGCCTCCAACCAACTAACTGACTAACATGCTGGTTACATTAATTGTGTGAGCGCTCGTGGAGCAGGATTCAAACGTGTGACCCACTCACTACTGAATGAGAATCAAGTGCCTGACTCAATGAGCTAAAGCTCCGTAATTGTATACACTTCAAATACAGTAAACATAACGTGTTATAAGTTAAAGCTTTTCCATTAGAAGTCCTGGAGTTCTACGAAAAGTCGTCATTTATAGTCCCTTCGTAGACAACAACACTGTTACATGCACTCGAACAGAAGCAGATTATCATATCAAAGGGAATCGAAGATCTGTTTTTTTCAACCTGGTATCATTTGGATTTTTTTTTAAATGGATCCCTACCCCAGATAACATCATGCAGCACGGCAGATGGTAGTATAGGAGGAGTGATACATGCATCAGTCAAATCAAACAGTGCAATTTCACAATGTAACCGACTAATAGACTTTGTTGAGACTTGCACGTCTAACGCGAATGAATATTGTTGATAGACAGTGGCTAGCAGTGGAATCCAAGACGCGCGTTTCATCCTGTTTGGGACTCGTCAGCTGGATGTACCTGTCTGAGTTTTATCACTATTATTACTTGATTATTCCCTGATTCTAGGTGTATTCTGGCTAGGTAGTGTCAACAGCTAGTAATTAGCATAAAAACTTACAAACTTAGTTTGTTAACCCCTTGAGTGTGCCATTCCAGAGCTCTGTATGCTTAGTATCTTTCCATGTTGATACAGAACAGTGAAACGATGCATCGTATTTCAGATATTCCAGAGCTGTTGCTCACACAAATTCAGATTGAACTCGTTGGATATTGTCAGTTTCTGCAATTCTAAGTAAGCACTTATTGATTTACTATTGGATTACTATAGTTTAATGCAACTCACGAAACTGATATAAGTTATGGATCAAATTCACTGTGTAGTAGCTCATTATACTACTCGGTTGCTCAAAATATAATGGTTGGTGTAAGGTTTGTTTGAGCTGGTGATTCACTACTTGAAGATTGACTGCCCAAGTAAATGAGCCCTATCTACATCAAAGTATTATCCATCCACTACAGTGTGTATAAAGTTCAAAGTACCTTGAGATTAAAAATTTCAGGGCATTAAACATATATTAAACGAAATATTATGCAGGTTTAAGTTTTGATAACAGTTAGACGACATATAACACACAATGAACATACTGGCTCCGATTTTCTCGGGCACTTGTCTGTTTTCGTAAAGGTAGCTGGTCGTATGCCGACGATATCCCCGAGTCAAAAGTGCTGGAAGTATCTGAAGCAGTTGGAAAACTTTGACTATGGCAAGAACTACTAGGCATAGACTTATCAACAGACTGATGACTACAAATATAATTTGACATTATCGGCAACTGCGAGGATAAGTGTTCATTTGCACCTGGCTGTGTAGAACAATGGTGAACACAATGACGAAGACGATGCCATTCACAGGAAATTTTATTAGCACAATGTTGACAAGTTGGACCGTATGCAGAATTAGAATTGAAGCCTTGTATGTACGATGGTTGTTCATAAAAATGTCCAGATTGTTGTTGTTTTCGCTCCAGCCTCTGACTATATTCATAACTGGGACTAAATGTCTCCTTTCTTCTCTGACTTGAGTTGAAGCAGACTGTGTGTTGGTACTATGCTTAGCATCTCGATCGAATGTCCTACGTGGATAATGACGTATCATTTTCTCAACAAGTTTTGCAGTCACCTCCCCATTGACAAGAGCCAACTCCGTAGTGGATGAAGATAATGCCTGTAAACTAGCAGCTTCCAGAATTGAACTGGTCTCTGCATCAAAGTAATCATTGTCCCCGTCAGTATCGGTGAGATGAAGATTTTTCATTTCATAATTACTTGTCACAACACCACTATCCCACGAAGCTGTTGAACGAACATCTGATTTGTTCGGTCGATTCATGCCTCGATAACCTCCGGCAGCGTGTCGTCGACGATGCGAACTGTCCGAAACACTTGTCCTATTGTTGTTGCTTGTGTTAGAGAAACAGGTAACTGTTGATCGGGCTGTCGCAGTTGTTTTACATCTTCCAGATGATGGTTTCATCAATTCATAATCCGTAGTATTACGTACAAGACTAGCATGCATTGAACGGACGAGTGTATCGGATAGGATAGGATATGGTGTTACAGAGGATAGTTGGTTAGCTGATGTACGACTACAATCACTCAGCTGTCTACGACAGCGTTTCTTATCGCGTTCTAATTCATCTGCCCATATCCGCGAACAATGATCATCTAGTATCTCTTGAGCATCCTGGGATTTGTTTGCTGGATAAATCTGTCGATTCATATTCATTTAGACAGTGCAGATTCATGAAGATGACTCAGTTGCTTTGCATCGTCAGTCAATGATGGATGAATGGCATGCTGAGTAAGAGGGATAGAGTTCGTTTCATTGACAGGAGGATTCATAGGGGAAATTATTGTAGTGTCTAGTTGACACCAATTAGAATCGTTTGACTGAAGTGATGGATTGTGTCCAACAACAGTAGAAGAGAACAATTCATGTGAAGCTGATACGGATACAGATGTATGTCCAGATTCTATACAGAGTTTTCCATCAACCTTGAGAGTAATGGAAAGAGAGGAAATGTATAACAATTGGTAAATATACGCAATTAATAAACAATATGCATCTCGTTTCATTACAATCCTCTATGAGAGGACGAAGACTTTTTTAAATGCGACAGGAATTACAAGGACTTAAATTCATAAAATATACTGAAGTATAAAATTAACAACAAAAATTTGCTCTTTTACGAAACTGTCTACTCGCAGGATTCTATAGATCTCTGTATGGCTCCACGACAAAGCGTTTTCCAACTCACTTCTGCTTCAAATAGCTGCTGATCTGAGTTAGACATCTATTTGGAGTGAGTTCTACAACGTAGATCAAACTGATATTGTGGACACCAAGAAGAAGACGTTGAAAGTTGTGCAACAGTAACAGTTAAGCTCAAGTATACCATAGTGAAAAACCCCCTACAACCTTTAAAAATATAAACCAGCGAACCTTATAAGCAACAGAAAATACAGACGAGTAGTCAATAGGTTAATCTTGACTGAAATCATACACACATGGTATGTGTAATCACAAGCTAGGTATAGCATACATTGGTAGGATAACAGGGAGTTTAACTAACCTGGAAATAGCGACTGTATATAAGGAGGGGATCTTATAGCTATCATACAGTTCAACATATATAGTGGGACAACTTACATCACATTGAGATTACTCCGTTAAAAAACATCAGTGTAAATACAAAGTATTTGCTGTTACCAAACAAAAGTTGGGAAACAGAAAATACTGGGTACCAAACCCAGTGGTTGAATAATAAGGTGCTTTCAGTGAGACCAGATGATCCACGGATTTATACTGTACACTGTTGTAGAGTTGCCTAGACTATTGAATCACAGTTTTTTAACGTTTTACAATCCTGGTGCAAATTCTTTCACATCGGCAACTAGTTGAAGTACAGATGATGTTCAAATGTTTGTTCTGTACACGTTTCACTTAGTGAAAGGTGGGTTGGGTAGACATGACTATTTGAAACAGAACACTGAATCATGTTAAGTTTTTGTTTATACACCTCCTATAAATGCTGGTAACAACCATATAGTGTATCATTAAAACTGTCTCGACAAATTCATGCTAAAGCTACATATGATCGAAAAAAATATATAATTGATTTTTTTGGTTTCGCTTTCATCAAGAAGGCTTACCTGATTGACAAGTGACATTAGCTTTTCCACTTTTCCACGTGATTCTCTCACTTTTTCCAATCTATCCGTTAAAAGTTGAACAAAAGACACTGGATCTGATTCTGCGAGATTTGTTTGTTTCCTCACCGGAGGATGAAGTTTAGACGGATAAGATTCCTTCAATACATTAGAAGACTGATTATCATAGACTAGACCAGAGGAAAGATTAGGATAATTTGGATTGCGTGGAGTTTGTAGAGATGTAGACGACTCTGGAACTGTCTGACTGGTCTCATGTGATGGAAGCGGGTTGGTCAAACGCGACTGGTTAGTTGTTCGTTGTTTATTCTCGTCATGACCACAGTCTTGTTTCAAGGTAGGTATATCCACTACATTATTCCCTGTAGGTTCTAGCATAGCACTATCAGTGAATCTGAACAATTAGAAAAACAAACAAATACAAAATAGACTCGAAAAGTTTATTAACTGAAGTACATTTTCAAATTAATCCTATTATACATATCATAAAACAGTTTAATAAAGACAACTTTTAAAAATGTTCTTTTACTGCATCACGTACTAACACTTTGTTCTGTACAGCTTAAAGTGTTTGCTGAAAAAACAGAATTGACTAATCGCTAATGTACATATAGAGCAAGAAGCTTGACGGCATCTGACAATAGTATCTTTTCTTAATCGATATAACATTAGCATCCGACCATCAACTGCTACCTTGACATACAAAGTCACCAGATTTGTACATCACAAGAAATCAACTAATTACATAAGATGGAATGGTCGTTCTGTGACCTTACAGTGGCAGGAAGATCTTTTCTTATGCGATGAAATTAAAAGTCGCTACTGTCATTGCGTAAATAATGAAGTCTGTGATAGAGGCCTAATCGTAAAAAATTGTACAGCCAGCTGCATAAAGTTGTGGTAACAGTAGGATGTTCCCCTTGGAATACCATGATTCGCAATTGCTGGAGATTGTTTTTGGGAAGGTAGGTGTTACAAAGAGTTCAACCCACCTTGTCTAGTGCCTTTCTAATGGCGATGATAATGTTTTGAAAGGAAGAGATCCAATTCCATTAGACTGTTTCTATCACAACTGAAAATCAGCTACAGAACAGTTGTAAACCAACACGTATTTAATTTTAGCAATTTCGTGGTCAATGACCATCAGCAATTACAACTGCTCCGGTGCCAGACGATTTGAGGTAAACACGTCTGCGTATAATACCGATAAATTCACTCACAGAAACTCAAATGTGATGAATCTTCATAAGATAGACAAAATGAACGTAAAACCTCTCACACAAGTCCATCGGTTCAAGATGCCACACTTCACAATAGTAGTATCTAAAAAACACATGGATAGAAAAAGAGTGATATCAAAGTAGACAAAGTTGTGTGAGAGAAGGTTAGTGCTAATATTCAAGCTTTAGAAGATGTCAAAGGAGTGAATACATTTGCGCCACTGCAACCAATTTTCATCCATGTCACCAAGAGTTCTCAACCACTGATTTGTATCGTCTCGAAGACCTCAACCAGGTAGTTTACATCTCCCCACACAACTCAGACTAACAGTCAAGGAATTCATCAACTGATGCGACGTCTTGATCTGGTCACCCTGAACCCTCTTCCAACCTAATCCAACTTCCTTTAACGTAGAACATTGGGCTGGGTGATTGCTTAGCATGCACAGTATGTGGCCAAGGCATCTCAGTCGATGAAGGTTCACAACCTACTTCATCAATCGACTTGCCTATCTTACCTAGTACTCTTCGCCTGATCTCAACACTGCTCGGACGGTGATTCCACCAAACGCGAGCGATGCTACAATGATACCTACGGTCAGAAGCCTGTAATTGCTTCATGTCTTCTACTTTTAACGATCATGTCTCACAGGCGTATAACAGAACAGAACCAACTGCAGCGCAGTATAATCGTTCTTTGACAGATACTCGGATGACGCGTCACAGATGATGCATGTCAGCGAATACCAAAGGGCCTTCTTTATCCGGACTGAGATGTCGTCATCAACCACACCGTTCAGACTGATGCGATGGTCGACAAATTCCACCATTTCACGAAACGTTGGAATTATTTGATTTCAAACCCTCTGTGACTTACACAAATACAATCTATATCTAATGAAATGAATAGATTCTAATTGCTCAAGTCATTTTCAAGTGGTATACCGTACACCATCCTCGTGTAAGAAAAGCAGAAACCCTAAACTTCGTTCGTCAATGTTAGTAGGTTGAACTGATTCTCTAACCATCTCTTACCTCCATGACTCAGACAGATCATTTAGTTCGAACAAAACAGTAAAGCGGTTGCGATTGTGATAGACTAACTGGACGCAGGAAGTGTAGTGAATATAGGAATCATGAGGCTTTTTAAGCTACACACAGGCACATACATACACGAAAATATGTACCAAATAAATGTGCTTAAGAATATAAAATACGAATACACAAACAAACATAGCATCTGGTGGATAGATAAACACATACGACATATGCACATACACACAACTACAAAGCACGCAAAACTTGCTATGCATACGCTTGTCATAAGTACCGTCGCCGCCATTTGCCGCCATACATTAGATAGATAAACCTTCCGACAAACAAAACTCTTGATGTTGTTATTGTTCTGTTGCAGTTCAATAGTGCATGCATTGCTTACAGATTTAGCTGTCTCCATTCCGCTCGCTTGCATGTTTATTGTGAAGCATACAACACCGACAATAAGCCGATCTCGTGCAAAATGCTTTCCGCTTTCATCAAAACACGAGGTAATGCACGTGTGTGTACGTATGTGCGATGTCCGTGTTTGTATGCAAGTACATTGCATACGCTACTCAACCAATTTGTGATGTCAGCTAGCTGATATATATATATATAGACCAAACGATACACTAGCTATGGGCATCAGGTATATAAACGCAGCTGCACAGGCAAAATTGACTTGCATACATACCTACCTATATACACAAAAAAACACAAGCACACACCCACACGCAGATATAAAATACGCTGCCGTGATTGTGTATTTACGGCATAGTGTTCACCCACCTTTATGCACACGTCTTTGTACGGACAACATGTTTGTGTATGCACAAAGCAACGAGAGAAATCGAAGCCTATTTATATGGGGTTGAAACTAGCATCAATACTGCTGTTATCATTACGAGTAGAATTATGACGATGACGATGGTGATTGTTATCAATCTTCATTGCTATGTGTATGCGTATACACACCAATGGATAATCATTTCACTTTGTCTGAACAAGAAATCGATGCAATTTTAAAACAGAAAATCTGGCAAAGAATTCATAAATTCAAACAATTGAATACCACCATTATTTTATAAGTAAATTTGCTTTGTAAACAGATATAACTTATGAAGTGTTGGAAATAAAGAAAGGTGAACATATATGCGGAAGAGTGTACCCGAATTCTCCCAATGATAAACGAAATCGGTCAAGGGGAGAGAGACAGAGATATACGTCTAAAAACAATCAGTTGATGCATCCATGTTACTAATAGATATTAACATTGTATCCCTTAAACGAATGCTTTGTTTGGTCCTCTTACATGAGATATGAATCCCTGAAGTCCTTTCTGTCTTGTTACATGCATGTGAGATATGACCGTTAAAAGTAGAAGACAATAAGTGTCAGTGTAGCATTGCCCGCGTTTGGTGGAATCACCGTCCGAGCAGTGTTGAGATCAGGCGAAGAGTACTAGGTAAGATAGGCAAGTCGATTGATGAAGTAGGTTGTGAACCTTCATCGACTGAGATGCCTTGGCCACATACTGTGCATGCTAAGCAATCACCCAGCCCAATGTTCTACGTTAAAGGAAGTTGGATTAGGTTGGAAGAGGGTTCAGGGTGACCAGATCAAGACGTCGCATCAGTTGATGAATTCCTTGACTGTTAGTCTGAGTTGTGTGGGGAGATGTAAACTACCTGGTTGAGGTCTTCGAGACGATACAAATCAGTGGTTGAGAACTCTTGGTGACATGGATGAAAATTGGTTGCAGTGGCGCAAATGTATTCACTCCTTTGACATCTTCTAAAGCTTGAATATTAGCACTAACCTTCTCTCACACAACTTTGTCTACTTTGATATCACTCTTTTTCTATCCATGTGTTTTTTAGATACTACTATTGTGAAGTGTGGCATCTTGAACCGATGAACTTGTGTGAGAGGTTTTACGTCCATTTTGTCCGTCTGAGTTGAATTGCTCACGGGGGCCAGTAATGTCGTGTACATAAGGAGAATCAACGCAAAACAATGAAATCATCATCGACCGAACAAGAAGAACAACCCTGAATTTCAAATCCTTATAGCATGCTAAGAGACAATGACAGTACTGAATGGCAAAACACCTAACCACTGATCCCACGATCTGATTAAGTATCCAGATTACTGTGCGTGTATTTGTGTGCAGAAACGATCAGCAAGTGAACTCACAAAGACACTAGAAATCGACAACTGCCCAGGGTGTGTCGTGTACTCGACTATGAGTTACATAAATTGTTTGAAGGTTAATTACTAGTCTACGCGTCAGTTGAAGCGATTCTAGAGCCGGTGACCCTTATCGATTACAAGATGAATGCCTCTTTAGCACTGAGCTATGTGTGTTTTCAGAAGAGTACTTAGGTATAAGATATTCTGAAGGGATAGCATCAAACAAAACACAGTAGGACAGAAAATCTTAGAGATCGCTCTCTAAATTATCTATTCGAAATACACTAACCTGTGATCACAACTGATCCAGGGAGTCATCAATACAACTTCGGAGAGCTGATAATAGTGCGTAGTACTCAAAAATTAATGGAAATATTAGTAGGCGACAACATATTTCGCAGCGTCTTCTTTAAATAAAGTGGGGGGAAATGGTCTTTCAGTTTGGATTATGGGTATTGATTCATTTCAAGGTGGTATTCATAGTGGACTGGGATCATTTACAGAACCATAGGAAACCTTGGAGGACTAGACACCTGTTTCGTTTTAGTAGCAGTATGCACTCTTGACCCTATCATGAGTCAAACTAAGGACCTTCGGATCTCACAACGAGCACATTGCCATTCAGCCAATGCTCCACATTTGCCTAGTCCTGTCGATTCATGATTCATCGATCATTGCAAACCAACGAACTGAACTACTATTCAAAGCTCATTAGAAACATTCTTCGAGATGGATTTGTGGAAGCTCTAATGAGAAGCCATAACCCAGGGAGTCAACCAACTCGGATGTAGACAAATACTTGCCGATGTCGTTGGATGAAGGTCACGTTGTATTGCTAATTGACAGCAGTGGGAAAATGTGAATCCTTGGATTCTAATGCAGAGGCCGAGTTGTAACGTGCTGCCAATGAGACCTGAAGATCCGGGCTTTGGTCCGTGGTCGCGTTGTGCGTGTGCACTGTTCAGAAGTCTCCGATAACGACAAAACATCTGTCCAGTGCTCCGAGGTCCCCAATGGTTCTCCAACTCCAC